CTTTTTTGTTTTTGTACTTTAATTTTTTTTGCCTCATCATTTTTTTTTTTTTTTTTTTTTTTTTTTTTTTTTTTTTCCGGAAGAGAAGGATTCACTGTATGTCTGCATGGGAGCAACTAAACTGAATCTGAGCCAAAAGTTTCAAGTTGATTTGGTCCATTTTCCTTAGAGTTTTGGGATTCTTGTAACAGGAAGAAGCTGAGCAATAGAAATTGGCTACAGCTAAAAACTGCACAAGCATGTAGTCCCCATCTCCTCTAGCATACAAATAAATGACACTCGGGTTCTAAAATACACAATACTTATCCTGCCCCGAAAGCACCGTTTTATAATCTGCAAGAGTGTATGTATATGGGAGGGAGAGTCCCTCAGTATGGGGATGTTTCTGTTATAAGAGGTTGCTTAGAATTTCTGGGTGTTTTTACTTCCACAGCTTTTAACATCTAGATTTCATCCTCAAGATCTCTTTCCATTTGCTTCAATGGAGCAATTTTTGTGAGTTTCGCCATTTTAAATCTGGATCAAATTTAATACTTTGTGCTTCCTTCAATTCTGGGATAGCCTGTAGCTTTTAAATTGGCCAGTTTATAACAAAAGCTGATTCTTTTTTCCCTTGCAGTTCTTCATGATTTTTCCCTTCCATTCTGCTCTTTGGCAACAAAAGAACTCTTTAGAAACTTCAATGTGTGGTTTAAAATCTGAATTTCGGTTGCTGGGAGTTTCAAGGTTTTTCACTTTTTGTTTTTATAACTACAGCAAGATGTTTTGATTTTTGAGAACTCATTCAACAACTATCAGGCTTATTTTTCATGGATTTGAAGTTACCATTTAGGGGCGCCTGGTTGGCTCAGTCGGTTAAGCATCTGCCTTTGGTTCAGGTCATGATTGATCCCAGGGTCCTGGGATGGAGCCCCAGTCCGTGTCTGGCTCCTTGCTCAGTGGGGAGCCTGCTTCTCCCTCTCCCTTTGCCTGCCACTCTGCCTGCTTGTGCATGCTCTCTCTCTCTGTCAGATAAATAAATAAATAATCCTTTAAAAATTTCATTACTGTTTAACATCTCTGTCCTTTGTGTTCAGTACACACTTTGGGTATGAGTTCCTGAGATTCAGGTGCTACCACATTTTATTAGATTGTAAAGATACAATTTTAACTTTCAAGCATATAGATGCAAAGGCTGCATTCAGATAGTTATTTTTCTGCCCACAGTAAGTTTTAAAACTGATCAAGTTTCCTTCTTCACTTGGGCCAATAGATAAACTTAAAACCAAATCTGAAGCCCACTTTCAGTAACTTCATGTACCATAGGTGTACATTTCTGGTGGCTGATCTTCCCCTCGATTTTTACTATTTTCCATTTGCTCTGTTTCTTTAAACTATTTGCTTTTTCTTCTTTTATATATGCTTATGACTTCAAGTCCTTGGCAGAAGGAGGTGGGTGATGAGTAGATACATATAAATGGTGTCTATAGCATGGACTTCCTATAACCTCCCAGTTTTCTGGAAGACACTCTAGGAAATTTGTTATCACCTCCTAAACCAGCACTTCCAAGGATATGTTTATCTGGTCACTTCCTAAGAGGTTCCTGTTCCATTCTCTTACTGTAACAAGTACAAGCCATCCCTGTGGAGGAGCCACACTGCATATATCTGGGGAAGCTTCCACCCACATCGGCTTTTATTATTTTATTCCTGAAGGGTCAATAACTTTGGAGAATTGGGCCTTTGGAACAGAGTTGTGGCAAGTGCCTTAAGGTAGGGCCATGCCATCTATACTCATGGCCACTGCTTAGTACCGCTGTAAGTATTGTAATATTCAGAAATGTCTTGCTGTCAACTCTCTGAATATGCTCCAACTTCTGTCTTTTGTTAGCTTGAAGCGTAAATGCTTACCTGAAGTAAGGTAATGGGAGATTATGTGATACTGCTAGGACATTTAAAAAAATGGATTTTGAAAGGCAAAGTCCAAGAATGGCCCTACCTTTTTGAGAATCTGCATTCTATAACCTCGAGTCAGCAAGCACAGCTTGAATCGAATCCTCCAGAGCCAGAACAGAGGTTGGTATATTTGAAATGACCTTTAGATCTTGGGGCCAGGTGCCATCTGTGCTCTGTTGACTCAGTTGGTCAGAACTCTGCATATTTTGAGCAGGATTAATATTGGTAACTGCCCTTTTGATTTAGGAGACATTTAGCAATACTATTTCACCATCTAGAAGCTTTTTCTGGGCCATTAAAAATGTTAAATTGAATCCAGTCAAGAGTGTTACCATGTTCTCCATATACAAGGTGATTCTGCAGAATATTATTGAAGAAATCATCAAGCAATATTGAGTCTGATGGTGCTACTCAGGGTTGTAAGCACTGAGAGCTGTTGATGAGGATTTTGGTATTTACATTTTTGATCTAAGGCTGGAAATGTGCTTCTTTAGTACTTTGACAATTTTATACAGTAGGTTGATCTCCGATGAAGTTAGTAAGATGAGAGATATTAAAATGGCACACGTTTGTGACCTACAAATGGCCAAGAACACCTTATGAGTCTGCCTAGCATTTTAAAAGTCTATTTCAAGGTAAAATGGAATATCTTGGCACATTTGACCTTACCACACTAATCTAGCACCAGAATTGCTTCGCCACAACACACACACATTATACAAAAACATTGCCTTGCTTCCCAGAAGAGGAAAATTTAGGAGCTCCTGAAGGGAACAGGCTGAAAGTTTCTATTTAGCTGGCAGTTGAGATTTGAGATGTTATTTAGGCCCAGGTTGGGGAGTAGGCTGATGGGGCAACAAGTGGTTAACCTGACCAAGGCTGATAAAGAGTGGGTGCTGGGTGTCAGAGCATAGCTGAGCTTTCTGCTGGAGACAGGATGGGCCTCTTGTGATCTATCTTGTTTTTGCCTGTCCTTCTGAACTCCCTTGTTCTTTCTTAAAATTGAATAAATTTTGCATGTAACATTGTGTAAATTGAAGGTGTACAACCTGTTACTTTGATAAATTTATATATTGTAATATATTGCCATTATAGTGATATTTATTACCTTACATAATAATAGTACAATTTTGTTGTCTATAACTATTACACTGTACATTAGTGCTCTATGGCTTATTTAGGACTCATTGCAAGTTAGTGCCCTTAAACAGCATCAGTATTATCCCCCGGTCCTCCCTCTCCCCTGGTAGCAACCATTTTACTCTCTGGGTTTTTTTTACAGGTTTGATTTTTCTTTTTTTTAATATTCCACATATAAGTGATATTATACAATACTTGTCTCTCTCTGTCTTAACTTATATCACTTACCATAATGTGCATAAGGTCCATCCTTTCTGATGGCTGAATAATATTCCTTTGTGTATATTTACATCTTTTTTAATCCATTCATCCATTGATGGGCATGCGACAATCTGATAAAAAATGGTCAGGAGACCTAAATAGACATTTTTCCAAAAAGGACATCAAACTGGCCAACAGGTACATGAAAAGATGCTCAACATCGCTAATCATCAGGGAAAAATGCAAATCAAAATCACAGTGAGATATCACCTCACAGCTGCTACAATCATCAAGAAGACAAGAGACAACAGGTGCTAGAGAGGATGTGGTGAAGAGGGAACCCTTATACACTGTTGGTGGGAATGTAAATTGGTGTAACCATTATGGAAAACCATATGAAGGTTCCTCAAAAAATTTAAAATAGAAATGCCATACAATCCAGAAATTCCACTTCTGGGTATATATCCAAAGGAAATGGAAACAGGATTTTGAGGAGATATCTGACCTCCTTTATTCTTAACCTATAAATAGCAATCTTAACTCTGACTTCCTGTGTCCCTGAAACTTTCACCTCTGGAAAACCATAGCTTGACATCCCAGTCTCAATGTTTAAAACCAGCCATGATAAAATGATTTCACCCCCACCCCAATGCCTGATAGTTTCCTGATAGTTTCACTTCTCTACTTGATCCTCGACCACCTCGAAACTCAGATAAACCCAGTCACTGTTATTTAGAGAGAAGGGCCTGGGTCCTAAAAACTTTATGAAAACGTATTTAAAGTATAAAAAGGAAAAAAAGAAAAAGAAATAAATATATAAAATATATGTATATATTTCTCTTGTGCATCCTGTTGCTAAGAGATATTAAAAATATTTAACAGGGGCACCTGTGTGGCTCAGTTGGTTAAGCGGCTGCCTTCAGCTCAGGTCGTGATCCCGGGGTCCTGGGATCAAGCCCTACGTCGGGCTCCCTGCTCCTCGGGAAGCCTGCTTCTCCCTCCCCCTGCTTATGTTCCCTCTCTCGCTGTGTCTCTCTCTGTCAAATAAATAAATAAAATCTAAAAAAAAATTTAACCATCAGAACACAATGAATACCAACAGTCAAGGTGACTCTACAAGTCCTGAAAACTTTTAAGGCTGTAATTGTGCATATCAGTTGAATATCAGCCTTGGCCATAACATTTCTACCAGATGAATCCTAAAGCATTTTACAAACATAAAGCCAGAATTTAATTAATCAATCAACCAATTAATTAAATGTTTATTGTAAACTTACTATGTGCCACACACTGTGTAAAATACTGGTTGTAATAAGACTAGGAGCTAAAGGAATTTTATAAGCTATTCCTATAATCATACGAGGGTTGGAAACTATGTTAAATTTCCTCTGAAATCTAGAAAAGTAAATACTCTGGGCTGATGGGAAACTCTGATCTTAATGATTTGGACAATCTAACAGTGATAAGCATTGGGTTTTCCTTTCTTTAAGATCAGTAGGAGAAAGATTTAGAATGTTTTATTTTTTCCTCCATTCTGGGACCCCAGAGAGCTGTACAGGAAGAGTCAAGTTAACTAAACCCTTACAAGTAATGCCCATGAAGGAGAGAGAATATCATCTGCATCACCATAAGGAAAAGAAACCTTCATATCACTTCTGGATTTTCACAGTTTTCTTAAATTAACAAGAGTTTATTTCAAACAGCATTATTTTTAATTTCTTCAGATCCTTTGATAGTTGGTGAGCAGCTGAAACTACAGACTGTAGACAAGACAGAAGGGAGAAAAGACATTCAAGGTGAGTACTGAGGAGAGTTTGTATGCCTAATGATCAAGAATTATCTAGAAATCCTGTGTGGTGGTGGTGGGGGGGGTCTCCCACCAGGCTGGGACCGATTATCCAGATGTTGTGGCTGGACAAAATGATGTGGGAGGGTTTGCTCTGCAGGAAATGAGCTTGATGAATGTTCCTTTACTTCAACACGTGGCACACTGAGCATATATATTCCTCTCAGGATTGTATTTTTATAGCAAAGCCAAAAAGAGGTAGGACTCCAATGATTCTTTTTTTTTTTTTTTTCAAATTAGCATTTATTTTGGATGTCTTCTGAATAAGTGAAACAGGAGCTAAAATATCAGGCATTAGGAAACTCCTGTGAAAGAAATACCTCTAAGAACTTTCTGGGTGCCATAAGAGCTTTGAAAATCTTAGAGAGCCTGAAGTTTTCTGGACATCCTTGAAGGTTCCATACATTTAGTGAAGGGAATCATCAATTGTTGATTGAAGGCAGAAACAATTTTTATCCTTACTTTGTTTTCTCAAAAAATTCTCTTCCCTCATGATTTCTCTTCCCCGGTGATGAAGAAAAATAAATGAATTATTTTGTCTGATTTTCCTTCTGGGCAGGCAGTGTTTACTCGGAGTAACCCCCTGAAAGCTTGGTCAGAGCAGTTGAGAAGGTATAAACAATTCTGCTGAATGTAAAAGGAAGATAACTTAATAACTGTTTAGGCCTCTTTAGTTGCCTTATTTATGCCTTTAAAAACTTATCTGTGGAGGAAATTACACTTCTAGGAATAGCAGTGATTTCAGGATTCATCTTCATATTGTCCTTTATCATGGATAAAATGCCTCCTCAAAGGGGGACTTCTTTTTTTTAAAGATTTTATTTATTTATTTGAGGGAGAGAAAGAGAGAGAGAGAGAGAGCACGAGTGGGTGGAGGGGCAGAGGGAGAGAGAGAATCTCAAGCAGACTCCCTGCTGAGCACAGAGCCCATATTCAGATTTGGATTTGGATTCGGGCTCAATTTCATGACCCTGAGACTATGACCTGAGCCAACACTTGGTTTTGGCCAAATTGGCCAGTTGGCCAAAACCAGGTGTTGGACACTTAACTGACTGAGCCACCCAGGTGCCCCCAAAGGGGGAATTTTTAAGTAAATATGGTAGTCATGAATCTCTGTGCCAAGTTTGCCAATAAAAATGTCCTTTCAGACATTTCACCAAGAATAGTAAAATACATTTGAATATATTTCATTTTTTTTTGCTGGTCCTTTTTAAAATTTAAGTATAGTTAACATACAGTGTTACATCATTTTCACATGTACCGCATAAGAATTCAACAATTCTATACATTTCTCAGTGCTCATCAAATAAACATAGTTCATTTTTAAATAAAAACACATAAATACATTTGTTGTACTTTATGGATGATACTAAATAGTTTACTTTAGTGGTAGTACATCTAAATACCATGTATTTGTTAAAAAAGGACTCTTCTGAAAAGAAATAAAAGTTATAACCCTTTGCTTCTTTCCAATTCAGATAATGTCTACATAATGTTAATCTTAATTAACAAATTACATGCTTTGGTCCTCGATGAAACTATCTGAGGAAACAGAGTATCCTCATCTACATACTAAAATTGTCATATTGCCTAGAAGTCACTGGTTGCATCCATACAGGTTGTAGCATCCACAAAATTCTTTTTTTAAAAAAGATTTTATTTATTTATTTGACAGAGAGAGAGAGATCACAAGTAGGCAGATAGGCAGGCAGAGGCAGAGGGAGAAGCAGGCTCCCCGCTGAGCAGGGAGCCCCATGTGGGGCTGGATACCAGGACCCTGGGATCATGATCTGAGCCAAAGGCAGTCGCTTAACTGACTGAGCCACCCAGGTGCCCAACATCCACAAAGTTCTTATAATGACTGCATCTTGAGAGAGAGCCTAGCTGTTCTTTGTTGAACAAGTATACAGTTGTTAAGTGTTTGGGGACTTGTTTCTCAAGCTTCGGAAATCAAAGTGTCTTAAACTTTCTTGATTGTGAATCTTCAGGGAAGGAATTCAAATTAATTTAATCATTTTTAAAGCACCTACTAAATTGTCAGTACTCTGCCAGGTACTGCATCTGGAAAGGGAGATAAATGAAGTAGAATGCTGCCCTGTTTATTTAGAGCGCAGATATTTGGCACTTGCAAATGTCTAGAATATTTGCAAACTGAAGTAAATAAAGAAGCCTCCAAGTGCAACCATTCTTGTTCAAAATAGCTGAGAAGATGCAATGTGTTTGGCTAATCTTCCAAGCAGAATAAAGGACTGTTCTGTTTGACTAGTGATGATGGCTATAGGAGTCAAAAATTGATAGTGACAAAGTATTCCAATTTTCATAAAATGGAAACAAAAAATAAAAGTAAAGTTTATTCTCACCAAAATGTACCCAAACTGGGGCAAAACTTGTCGTTCTGCACAATTTTTGGAACAAAATGCTTAAAAGGCTGAAATAGTCAAGGACTTTAATTTTCCCAGGACTTCTCTTAAACTGTTGATATTCAAATCATTTTCTTCCATGTGTCTTTCTTGGTATCATCCTCTTTAGTTCCCCTTTTTCATTCTTCTTTTGTTCACTGGACTTACTCTACCAGATCTTCAGCTGTCGATGGTGTTGCGTATGATCAGAGTAGTTCTTCAGCAACACTTTTATCAACTGCATGAAATCCTAAATGTTTTTCAAGATTTGCAATTTCACTCTGAAATTGGTTTGCTTCGCATTGTCTGACAATATCAGAAAATCTGCCAGACAATGGTCAACATAGGTTCATACTAGGCAGGAAGAGATGCTTGAGTAGAGACTAATTTTATAGGTGGTCAGTTGATTCATGAATAATTTGTATTATGATGACTCTTCCTTCTCCTCATATCCTCTCTTTTTTTAGAGATTTTACTTAACTAGAGAGAGAGAGACAGCATAAGGGAGAGCACAAAGTGAGAGTGAGAGGGAGAAGCAGACTCCCCGCTGAGCAGAGAGCCCAACTCGAGGCTCTATCCCAGGACCCTGAGATCATGACCTGAGCTGAAGGCAGCTGATTAACCAACTCAGCCACCCAGGCGCCCCCTCCTCATATCCTCTTAAATCTGGGGACCTGGATAATGGATACTCAGATAATGAAGACCACCTGTTCTTGTGTTTCCTACAAGCCAAAGCAAATTCAGAGCTTTTATTATTATTATTATTATTATTATTATTATTATTATTATTATTTGAGAGAGAGTAAAAGTGAGAGAGATGGCAGAGGGAGAAGCAGACTCCCCTCTGAGCAGAAAGACTGGTGCGGAGTTTGATCCCAGGACCCTGGGATCATGAGCTGAGCCGAAGGCAGATGCCTAACCAACTGAGCCACCCAGGCTTTCCAAATTCAGAGCTTTTAAATGAGATTATTTAATGCAAAATTTTTCTGTACTATTTCATTATCAAAAGGAATGTACTTATCTTTTAAATTGAAGCCTTAAGCATATACTTTTATTGTTCTAAATGTTAAATGTGAATGGATTCTGTCTCCTCTAAACGATTGTGAACTTCTCAAGGACAGGACATCTGGTAGCAAAACATAGAATATATCTAACATGATGGAAGAATACTTTTTGAGGTAGCACTCAGCCTAGAAGTTGTTCTTTTTCTGTTAAAATCCAGGGTGCCTTATAATATTGTCTCCCAAACTATGTTCTTTGGTATTCTTGTTTTCTATGGGAAGTTAACAAAGTTTCCAAGAGAAAACATTTCCATGTTCAAAGTTAATTTGGGAAAGGAATGTAAAAATGTGTACCTGCTATGGAAAACAGTATGGAGTTTCCTCAAAAAAAAAATAAAAAAAAAATGGAACTACCATATTATCCAGCAATCCCACTATTAGATGTTTATCCAAATCAGGATCTCAAAGAGGTACCTGAACTCCTATGTTCATAGCAAGACTATTCACAGTAGTCAAGATACGGAAACAATCTAAATGTCCATCAGTGGATGAGTGGATGAAAATGTGGTATATACATAAAATAAAATATTATTCAGCCTTTAAAAAAGAAGGAAATCGGGGCACCTGGGTGGCTCAGTTGGTTAAGCGACTGCCTTCAGCTCAGGTCATGATCCCAGGGTCGTGGGATCGGGCCCCGCGTCTGGCTCCCTGCTCGGTGGGAAGCCTGCTTCTCCCTCTTCCACTCCCCCTGCTTCTGTTCCCTCTCTCGCTGTGTCTCTCTCTGTCAAATAAATAAATAAATAAAATCTAATTTAAAAAAAATTAAAAAGAAGGAAATCTTGTCATATGCTACAACATGGATGAAACTTGAGGGCATTATGGTAAGTGAAATGAGCCAGTCGTGAAAAGACAAAGACTGCATGATTCTACTGACATGAGGTATCTAAAGTAGTCAATTTCCTTTTTAAAAATATTTTATTTTTAAGTAATCTCTTCACCCATCGTGGGGCTCAAACTCACAACCCCATTATCAAGAGTTGCATGCTCTATTGACTGAGCCATCCCAGAGCCCTAAAGTAGTCAATTTCTTACAGAAAATAGAATGGTAGTTGCCATGGACTGAGGGGAGGCAGGGAAGGGGGGTTGTGGCTCAGTGGGTGTACGGTGTCAGTTTTGCAAGATGAAAAAGAGATCTATTGCACAATAATGTACATATAGTTAACACTACTATACTCTACACTTAAAAATAGTTAGATGGTAAATTTTAGGATGTATTTTTTGCCACAATAAAAAAATTAATGTGGGAAATAGCATACATTGAATCTTCCTCTAGGTATTTTCTTGAATATTAGTGTATTATTAGTGTTGAGCATCACTCCCATAGGGAAATTTGTTTACCTTTCTTTAACCCACGATTTCCCAAGCTCATTTGACAACCAATCTTTTTTTCATTGTTAGTGAGGAATACTTCTTAACATTCTGGCAGACATTAGTAATGTGTGGACTAGCAGTTTGGGAAAAATGCTGCCCTACAGAGGTCCTACCCCACC